TATACTATTCTTTTGTCATCTAATTGCTGAGATTCTTTTATGCTGAAATATTATAAGTAAACTTGACACTGCCTTCAGTGGAACTAGAGCTCACCCCACACCTCTTATGGGCAAGATTATAGAAGATACACATGAAAGATCCCCAGTACGGTTGAAGATTTTGGTTAATTCATTATCTACCACTCATAAATCCTTATTTTTAATTTTTTCAAACATCATGACTGACTTAAATGTGAAAATGTATGCATTAAAATATTTCAACTGCTTTGATAACTTCTTAAATTTATAAATATTGCTTTCAAGATTTTTGGCAGTTGACTGACCCCCATCACCAGATAATTGGCATTCATCATTTATCTGCTAATTGCAAGATTCCTTTCCTACAAAGTGTTTGAGTTATTTTTCCAATACATATAATTACAAATTTTTGCTATGTGCAAGTCCTTTCTCTGGTAGTTATTTGATGCTCTTTGTTTCTTAGCTAGAGTTAATGCTCGTTATAAGCCTTTCCATATGCATGACATACAACACTGACAAACATACTCCGCTACTAATAATTGTTGTATGCTTGCTCTCACTTTTATATGACACATCTTTATTTTAAAAACCAGACAGCCAAAGTGGCAGCTGTGTACAATGTTGTGTATACAACAATGACTGTTGTACAAAAGAGAAATTTTTTTTTGTTTAAAATTAGTAATAGCAAGGAGAGAGATGATGAAAGCTTTATCATGCATGTGGATCTGGGATCTATTCCCAGGCTTGCTAAAGGTATCCTTTGCAATCTTCAAAAAGCATCTTGACTACTCTGTCTTCACTTCCCTTTCTGTACCCACATTGCACGGTCTTTACGTGGATTTCCAATGTGCTCACATTCTCATTCAACACACAATGTTTAGAAGAGGAAGATATTGCAATCATTACATGTTAGGGCACTGTTGTACCTCCTCCCAGTCATGCTACAGGGAAGAAGTTGTACAGCCACATGCAGAAATTCATTTCTATTCAGATACTGAAGAACAGCACTAAAATGCTAGAACTAATTTTACAAGGTCATTAACCATAACAGAGAAGTTAAACACAATAATTACCATGTTTTACAGATGGTGACACTGAATACAAACTTAAATTGCACACTATCTGAATGTCAAATATTCGCCTTACAATCTACAGAAATTATTTTTCAGTTATATTGAAGTTGAGCATTTTTAAAAATCTAATGTTAGATAATAACTTCTAAGAATGCCAACATGCTGCTGCTGTTGGCATTCAACTGCCTTTTTTTGCAGGTTGAAATCCATGTGTTTCTATTATATTGTAGTAGCTTATGACCAATACATTTCATTATAATTAATTCACACTCTTGTATTAGAAACCCTAATTTTCTATTTCCCTAC